GTGTTGTTCGAAACCCGTAAGACCTTCGTTCATCTTCGGAACACAATTTAAGAGATTTTTGATGACATATGAGGGCTCTCTGACCCACTCGTGTCATGATACTGTCACTCTCCCTTCATCTCTGAATGTCTTCACGAAGCTAAGCTAAGTTCCTTTTTAATGCTTTCAGGTTATTGGCAACATGCTTGTTGCTAAGGCTATCCATGTTGCTTAGGCTTATTTAGTCGTTTTCAGTAAAATGCTTGTGCCAGGCTTATGCGATCATATTGGCAATATGCGTTATTATCTGTTGTCATTGGCAACATGCTGTGTTTTAACCTATCAAGTCTGGTCGCCTTTATTTATATAGCAGTAAACAGCACAAATGCAGGGAGCTTTGTGGTGATAGACAGGAAATAACCATCATGGTGCGGGCGGAATCAGAATCAGCTGTGGCACAGCTCCAGGGAGAAAATGGTAAGCAGGCGTTGTTTGGTGAGGTTGGTTCAGCATTGATTCTGTTCGAGTATTGGAAACGATTGTTCTATCTAGTTGTATTGGAAACATGCTTGTTCCAGAACTGTTTGGTTGCTTTTGGAACATGCTTTTTCTTAAGGCTATCTGGTTTCTGTTGGAAACATGCTTGTCTAAAGGCTATCTGGTTGTTATTGAGAACGTGTTGTTGCTTAAGCTTTTCAGGTATTGGCAACATACTCATTAGGTCATCTAAGGGCAACATGCTTGTTACTATGGCTTATGCAGGATTTGGCAACATACTTGTTTGGGTCACTGGGTAATGGCAACATGCTTGTTGCTTAAGGCATTGAGATTTTCACTGTCAGTTTTTGTTGGGGATATCAGCATATGGTTTCTGGGTTATCGCTGCTCTCCCTGCTCTTATCCACGCTAGGCTGCATGGATGTGCAATAAGTTATTGCCAGAACTATACCGCCAATCCAAACTGTATTCTAATTTTCAATCATCTTTGACAATAGTGGTCCAGACAGAAATCAAGCGTAGCATTAGTTCTGGCAGGTCACGTCAGTCAAGCTCGCATCAGCTGACTCTCAGCTGATCCACGTCTACCTATAGAGATACAACACCTATCACAGCATTCCATATATAAGTTCCTTCAGTATTATCAGCAGCTTTCTTGTTGGCTCAATAGCTAATTATCCTCCTCCATCCCCAGCTCCTCCTCTCGTCCAGTCAGGATTCAGCCTTCTGATTCCCCTTTGAATCAGACTAACTTAATTTATTATATAACTTACTATTTGTAATAAATTATATGATTAGTAAAATGCTAAATATAAATATTGTTACAAATAATATTAATATAATTAATATATTAGTAATATAACAAAAATATTAATATATTAAAAAATAATAATTATTTAGTTATGTAATATACACACACACACACACACACACCCACACAGTGTGTTACGGATTTGAGGATAGACAGACAGACACATTTATATAAAAGATGTAGAATGCATAATTGTATAATTATTGGAATTGTGTATATTATATATTTATTACATATTGTGTATGTAAATAAAATACAATTCTAAAATTCTAAACAAAATTAGAATTGTATTTATTATATATTACATACTTCCATAAACATATATAAATCATTAAAATATTAATAATAATACTTTTAAATAATACAATTATTTATTTTTAAAATTTAATTTAGTTTTTATTGTCATTTTTTTTATTGTCAGACATTTTATTGATTTAGTTTTTATTGTCATTTTGTCTCTTTGTATTTCCCAGAATGCATCAAACCTCATCCACGTGTCAAATTCTCATCAGATCTTCCTACATACATTGACGTTTGAACTCTAGCCTCCGCCATGTCAAGGACTTTGGTCATGCGGACACAAAGGTTTCAAGCTTTATTCAGTACTTGTGCATGTTGGACATTAACTTTACTGTGCTCTGTGAATACTAGAACAAACTTTGTACAGCTTTTTTATACATCTGTGTATTCAAGAAAACATTTTTGATGCTGTTCATTTATAAAGATGCCAGTGTGTACAAAGTCTGAGGGAAAATCCAGCATGAAGCGTGGAAAAAAAGACAATTATACTTGGTTACCCGTCTGTTTATTTTTATTGTAAACAGTGCCAGTACAGTATTCATGAGCGTAAAACAGGGATATGTGACATTTTGAAAGTGTTTTAATAATAAAATGTAAAATAATGATTATTGTAAAATGAAACATTTCCTGGGTTTCATTTTGTAAAAGTATATCTAGCACATCTGTACTTTACATGTAACACAGAAATGTAGATTTTACCACTAATTTTATGAGTTTCATGCCTTTATTCATGAAACAGGGTTAATGTTGAAGCTTGTTTATCTTGTTTTACTTCTCTGCAATATCAAAGTATTTTTTCTTAGTAAAATAAAATCGTTGTGTTTCTATGTAGAAATAACTGACTGTTGGTTTACAGATACATATCAGTGTCAAGATATGCTGCGTAAACTGACTTGAGACGTTATGGCCAAGCAGAAGATGATAATCGTATACTGTGTCTAGTGTTTCATAAACAGTTTTGTATGGAATAATTTATGTGCACTCACAGAGAGTTACAAGATTTATGCTTTCATTTTGCTTGTTTATTTGTTATTTTTTGTGCATTTAAATTCAGTCATGACGTACCAAAAGTGAACTGTACAGGCTGACGGATATGAATGTATGAATGTGTAAGTACATATTTAAAAATTTTTTTTTATTTTTTACTTTCCCTCTTTATGAGCAGTATAAAATCACAGGGAAGCCATGATCAGTTGATGAATTGACTAGTACTAACGAATCATATATATATATATATATAAAGTAACAATTTGATGGTGAATTAAACTTGAAATTTTGAAGTAGTAAGTAGTTTTGTTCACTCATAAGTTATATATAAAACATAATATAATTATTTTCTTATTTATTTTTTGCATTTTGGGGTTTTTATTCTTCTTAAAAGAGGTATCTTATGCTCACCAAGGTGGCATTTATTTAGTAAAAAATACAATAAAAACATCAATATTGTGAAATATTATTACATTTTAAAATAATTGGTTTCTATTTCAATATACCATAAAATGTAATGTATTCCTGTGATGCAAAGCTAAATTTTCAGCATCCATAATTTATAATTATAATTCATTATAATTTTTGAAAACAGTTGTGCTGCTTAATATTTTTGTGTAAATTTTGATACAGCATGAATAGAAATTTCAGAAGAACAGCATTTATTTGTAATATTTTTTTTTTTGCAATAT